TGTTATCTTCTTACAAATACTGGGTGATGCTTTTGTTTTTCCTGTCTCTTTTCTGAGCAGTTTCCACAGTCATTTTCTAGCCGTTTAAAAATAAGGTTTTGTATTAAGTAACCGATAAAAAGCTATTTTAAAATAATAGGATTTTTGTGTGTAGCTACTCATAGAGATATGAAGAAAAAAAAGGAACGTCATTAACGTAAAATCACCAAAGAACAGAATGTAGAAAGTAAAGTTAAATTTCTTCTTCATCTATCTCTGTGGAATATTTAAGAGGTTGAGTGTTGGGTTGCATGTTTGTTTGGGGGGTATTGGTTGGTTAGTTTTGTTTTACTGTATTACTGGGGTCAGGGATTCTTTTAAAAAAATCCATTGTTCTAATTACTATAAATGTTTCCCTCTTCAAACTTGGATGCAAAACTTCCCCTCAATACAGATACAAACTGTGGCCCTTACCCTGAAGTCTCACCATGAAAACAATAAGATAATCACAATCCACAGATCTTCACCCACCTACTCCGATGATAGACCCATAATCCCTGGCTGAGTTACTGAAGTCCTCAAATCATCATTAAAAGCTAGGGTGGGCAATAAGCGGCCTGCGGGCGCGACATGGTTCATCATGGTTAGCCCCTAGAGCTAGATGCTTTATTTATGTATCTAGATGCAGGCACAGCTGTTTTACAGCTCCCATTGAGTCAACCAATGGGAGCTGCAGGATGCAATGGCTTCCTGCAGCTCCCATTCTCCGGGATCAGTAAACCATGGTCAATGGAAGCTTGTGGCCATGCTTGTGGATATTCAGGTAAATTAGCATCTAGCAGCCCTCCGGGCACTAACTCTGGTAAACCATGTCTGGCCCACAGTCCACTTAGTGCCCGCTCCTGATTTAAAGACTTCAAGTTACAGAGACTCCAACATTTATTCTAATTCAAACTTGCATGTGACCATGCCTCATGCTGCAGAGGACAGCCCCCCCCCCGAGGGTCTCTGCCAATCTGGCATGGGGAAAATTCCTTCCAAACCTCAAATATAGTGATCAGCTGGCTACTGAGCATGTCAGCAAGACTCACTAGCCAAACAATTGGGAAAGAATTCCCTGTGATAACAGAGAGCATTTCCCATTTAGTGCACACTGTCCAACCTTTGGGGATATTTGCTACTAACAGTTGCCACCCAGCTTCACTTCACTGGTGGTTAGAAATCTTAGTCTAATTTCAAGCTAAAACTTGTTGATAGCCAATTTATATCCAATTGTTCTTAGGTTAAACATGGCCCTTAGCTTAAACAATTCCTCTTCCTGGTATGTATCCTTCTCATGTATTTGAGGGAAGTAATCCTATTTCCCCTCAGCCTTAGTGTAGTTAAGCTAAACAAAATTCCTTGAGTCTTCTCTCAGAGAAGTTCTTCCATTCTTCAGATTCTAGTAATAGTCCTTCTCTGCAGCTCTTCTAGTTTGAATTCATCCAGATGAGAGCTGAACCAGTACTTTTATAATGGTGATAACACTGATGTAGGAGCACCAAAATGCATATGGCAGGGACCCACCAGAACTAGGACTGTGATCCAACTCTCCCCCTCAGACCACACCTCCTGGCCTCCCAAGAGCAGATTACCCATGTTAACTGCTCCCCCACTGTGAAGTACAGCCCCTGCCATCATTGCTTCATGCCTGGCTGAGGCTGCTCTGCCCATGTTATGAAGGGGGAGGCCATGGTCCCTCTTGTTTCACTGACTGTGGCCTAATGCATCCTAGGACTGCATTCACTATTTCATGGCCATCTCACATTGGTGAGTCAGTCATTCTTATCAACCCAAGTCTTTCTCTTCCTTTGTCACTTTCATCTGATAAGTCCCCAGCTAATAGCAAAAATTCTCATTGTTAATCCCTAAGTGCACACCTTGTGTTTTGCACTATTAAATTTCAGTCCATTCCCGTTACTCCAGTTCTCAGGGATCATTCAGATCTTCTTGTATGATATTCTGGTCCCCCTTTATATTGGCAATACCTCTGAACTTTGTGTCATCTGCACATTGTATTAGCACACACTCATTTTTTGAGCCAAGTCCATTAATGAAAATGTTAAACAAGATAGGTCCCCAGGTGGGTCCTTGAAGAACTCTACGACTAACTGCTCTCCAGTCTGACAACTTACTTTTCAGTATGACCAGTTGTAGTCTCCCCTTTGACCGCTTTCCTGTTCACCTTTCCATTCTCATATTAATCTCCATCTTCTCAAATATAACTAATAATTTCCCATGTAGAACTTTAACAAATGCCTTACTGAAAACCAGGTAGATTAGATCTATTCATAGATTCATAGATTCATAGACTTTAAGGTCAGAAGGGACCATTATGATCATCTAGTCTGACCCCCTGCACAGTGCAGGCCACAGAATCTCACCCACCCCTCTTAGAATAATCCTCTCACCTATATCTCAGATATTGAAGCCTTCTAATACTTTGAAGGTCCCAAGATGCAGAGAATCCTCCAGCTGTGATCTGCGCCCCATGCTATCTGCCAATCTACCCTGGAGGAAAATTCCTTCCCGACCCCAAATATGGCGATTGGCTAAACCCTGAGCATGTGGGCAAGACTCACCAGCCAGACACCCAGAAAGTTCTCTATAGTAACTCCTATCATCCCTCCATTCCATTGCCTTCATCTAAAAACTCAAGTTACCTTCTCAAAGAAATAGCTCAAATTGGTCTGACATAATCTGCCTTTTGTAAAACACTATTGTATTTCAGGCCTTAACTACAGTCTCTTTCAAAATTTTAAAATTCCTCAAATATTCTTGGATGGAGATTATTCAGGCCACCCAATTTGGTCTATGTTGTTTGAGTGTGTTTTCCACTTCAGAGGTGATCATTTCTGCACCCACATTCTCATTTCCAATACCCACCCTGATACTATCCCTTAGCTCCCCATTACCCTTATTAAAAACTGAGGTGTTGAGCCATGGCTCAGTTATCTTTAATTTTCACCCAACCTCAGTGGTTAATGGCATCACTTTTTCTTTCCTTGTTTTCTTTAGTTTTAAGGCTATTCAGTTTTTGGTGTTTGCAAATTTTGCTTCAAATTCCCTCCCTACACACATAGTTTCTATTAACAAACTTCCCCGTTTTGAGGGGGGGGGATACAATCAAATAGGAAATAAATCCAAGAACATTTTGATCAAGTCACTTCACTTTACTGTATTGTTTTTCCATTTTCCACCCCATGTCTGTCATTTATATTTAGCTGGTGAGCAATTTGAGACAGTGACAGTCTCTTAATTTGTGTTTGGACAGTGCCTAGAACAATGTGGCCCTGATTTTTGCTAAGGTCTCTAGGTGCTACTGCTACCATAATACAAATAAATAATAAATATAGCAAACAGAACACAGGCAGATGAAAAAGAGTATTGTCTTGCCACATAGCTTCTATGGGAGAGAAAGCTCAGCAATTTCTATTGGATAATAATATGTTTCAAAAGTAGCTGTTTGCACAAAACTCTTTCCTGCTGGTTCAGACAACTGAAGCCTGTCACTAACTTTGTTCTTAATGTTTGCTGGATAAACAAGGCTTCCTGCATTCAGAGTTTTTCACAAAAGGCGTGATTCAGACTGATGAGCTTGCACATTTATACAGTTTCGCTGCACTTCAATTTAACCACTATGTATTGAGCACAGAATCAGAGGGCTGGAAGGGACCTTGAGATATCATGTAGACCAATCCCCTGCACTCATGGCAGGACTAAGTATTTTCTAGAGCTTCTCTCACAGGTGTTTGTCTAGCCTGCTCTTAAAAAAACATAAAACATCATTAGAGTACACAACATCATAGTACCTAACTCCTCCTACAAGGAAGATGAAATAATTATAAGGCCTTTCGATATTAAAGTCACTACACATGGGTCTTGCTAGAGATGTGTACTCTAGGCTGTGTCTAGACTGGCAAGTTTTTCCGGAAAATCAGCAGCTTTTCCGGAAAAACTTGCCAGCTGTCTACACTGGCCGCTTGAATTTCCGGAACAGCACTGATGATCTCATGTAAAGTCATCAGTGCTTTTCCGGAAAAACTATGCTGCTCCCATTTGGGCAAAAGTCTTTTTCCGAAAGACTTTTGCCCAAAAGGGCCAGTGTAGACAGCATAGTACTGTTTTCCGCAAAAAAGCCCCGATTGCAAAAATGGCGATCAGGGCTTTTTTGCGGAAAACCGCGTCTAGATTGGCCATGGACACTTTTCCACAAAAAATGCTTTTGCGGAAAAGCATCCTTCCAATCTAGACGCACTTTTCTGAAAATGCTTTTAACGGAAAACTTTTCCGTTAAAAGCATTTTCGGAAATTCATGCCAGTGTAGACATAGCCTAGTGGTTTGAGCACAGCAGATGAAGAACCAAACACTCCTGACTTCTAATGCTAGGCCTGAATCCTACATCCTCTATGACCTCAGAGAAGTCATGGGTCTGCTCTGCCTCAGTTTCCTCATCTGCAAAGTGGGGACAAGTCATTTCTCAAAAGGGCAACAGGCCGAGTGAGCAGTTAAAATTGATAACGCTCTTGCTCTATGTGAAAGCATTCCCACTTTCCACAAGACATCTCAGAGAGTGCAGCTATTCCCAGTGCTGACAGTAGGAAACAATTGTGCTATGATTTGAGGCACTAGTTTGATATGTGTGAAAGAATGCTGAGCTTTTAATGATGAGCACCACAAATGCAAAAAAGACACATGATTATTTACACAAGGGAGTTATTGAATCAGCCAGGGATTTTGCAGCTTCCAAAAATTGCCTAAATAACTGACCCAGAATCTGTGCAGTCAGCCTACCTAATGATACATATTGCAGTACTGCATGTCGTAGTTTTCACCACAGTCACACATGCACACATTTTCTCAGAGTCCCTAATTTGACTCACAGAGCTCTATGCAAGTCTCTGTTCCACTCATTTCAAAGCCTGTCAGCTATTTTCAGTTCACATTCATTGCTCACCTGAATTCCAGTGGCTACATGTCAGGTGGAGGACCAAAAGGGATAACCGTGGAAGAGGAAGCCAGCTATATACACATCTCCCCTCCTACTTAATAAGAAGCAGGATCATATCTCTGTGCAGATGTGGGGGGTGTTCGCGTTGATCAGTGGCTCTACCATGTCAAATAAAAGAGAAGGTAGAAGCAGAGAATAAACAAAATCTCTCATACAACTTCAATCTTGTACCCATATCACTGAACATCAACAGAAAACATGTTCTGAAGAAAGGCAGAGGAAGGTTACCTTGTCATGTTTCTACTTACATCATGCAGACATGAAAAGAAACACATTCTTAAGATTTGTTACAGAGAACTTACTTAATAGAGTCTCAGCAAATGTTTCCTAACTTAAAAAAAACCCACCCTTTTCAAAGTCATCAGCTTGCATACATCTTATTACAAAAGCCCCCAGACTGAAATTCATGCGTTCTGATTATGGGAGCTGGTATGCACATATGTCATCTTAATTGTTTATAGCCAATCTCTCATTTAATACATTTCACCTGACAGTTGTTGTGGGTTCAGTCTGCTTTACTGGCTCACCATTTAAGTCTTTATCTATAAATCACGCTGATATATAAGCCACATTGTCATCTTTTTGTTTCAGAACAGATGTACAGTAAGTAAAAGATGCTTCTAAATAGGAAAGAAAACAAAACAGGGTGGAATCAATACTGAGATTCCAAAGAAACAAAATTGTTGTGTTATTGCTAGCAGGTGGCATGGCAGGAAGTTAGCACTTCCAGAATAAGAGACACTATTAAAAAGATTAATCTCTTCAGGTTAGCATCAGATACAAACATTTATATCTTCCTGTTCATAAATAAGCAAAGGCAAAAAGCTTGACAGCCCACATTTTAGGGGCTGCTGTGCAACAGATGCTGACAAGAGGAATTCCTGTTGAATTCTGCTGCAGTGGCTCCTGGGATATGCACATTCCCTTACCAGTTCTGCTACATTAGCAGCGGGTGTAGCATTGCTTTCCCCAGCACACAGTCAGCTCTGCATAGAGACCAGATCTCTGCCTCACCTCACCCCACCCTATCCCCTAGAGGGTATGTCTACACTACCCCGCTAGTTCGAACTTGCAATTGCAAATGAAGCCCGGGATTTGAATTTCCTGGGCTTCATTTACATGAAGCCAGCCGGCGCCATTTTTAAATGCCGGCTAGTTCGAACCCCGTGCCGCGTGGCTACACGCGGCATGGAGTAGCTAGTTTGGATTAGGCTTCTAATCCGAACTAGCTGTACTCCTCGTGGAATGAGGAGTACAGCTAGTTCGGATTAGGAAGCCTAATCCAAACTAGCTACTCTGTGCCACGTGTAGCCGCGCGGCACGGGGTTCAAACTAGCCGGCATTTAAAAATGGCGCTGGCTGGCTTCATGTAAATGAAGCCCGGGAAATTCAAATCCCGGGCTTCATTTGCAATTGCGGATGACTACATTACCCCCGCTAGTTCGAACTAGCGGGGTAGTGTAGACATACCCTTACAGAGCCTGAGCCACCATTAGCCATGAGAAGGCTCTACAAGCTACAACTACATAAGAAGGGTCCTAATGTGTAGGGAGGAGGCTCCTGGCAATCTCCTTTGTGTCTCTTCATAACATGATGCTAACTGCATTTGAGAAAATGTCTGATTTTATTTTATACTGTAGGAAAGATTTCTCCGGGCTGTTCAGAATGACATTTTTCTGGATTGCTATTATACTGTCAGGGTTGCCACTATGTCATTAACTCAGTTATTTACTGCTAGCATGCTTATGAAGAGGCTTTACATTCATAATGTAGAGTCATGTTGACCCAGAATGTGAAAATATCTATTGCCATCATAGAGAGTGGACAGGAACATAGGACTGGCCATTCTGGAATATACCCAAGGCCCATCTATTATCATAGAATCCTAGGGCTGGAAGAGACCTCAGGAGGTCATCAAGTCCAGTCCCCTGCCCAAAGCAGGACCAATCCCAACTAAATCATCCCAGCCAGGGCTTTGTCAAGCCGAGACTTAAAAACCCCTAGGGATGGAGATTCCACCACCTCCCTAGGTAACCCATTCCAGTGCTTCACCACCCTCCTAGTGAAATAGTTTTTCCTAATATCCAACCTAGACCTGCCCCACTGTAACTTCAGACCATTGCTCCTTGTTTTGCCATCCATCACTACTGAGAACAGCCTCTCTCCATCCTCTTTGGAATGTCCCTTCAGGAAGTTGAAGGCTGCTATCAAATCCCCCCTCACTCTTCTCTTCTGCAGACTAAATAATCCCAAATCCCTCAGCCTCTCCTCATAGGTCAGGTGCTCCATCCCCCTAGTCATTTTGGTTGCCCTCCGCTAGACCTTCTCCAATGCATTCACATCCTGTCTATAGTGGGGGTCGGGGCGCAAAATTGCACACAATACTCCAAATGTGGCCTCACCAGAGCCAAATAAAGGGGAATAATCACTTCTCTAGATCTGCTGGCAATGGTCCTCTTACAACAACTTAATATTCCATTAGCCTTCTTGGCTACAAGGGCACACTGTTGACTCATATCCAGCTTCTCATCCACTGAAATCCCCAGGTCCTTTTCTGCCAAACTGCTACTTAGCTATTCGGTCCACAGCTTGTAACAATGCTTGGGATTCTTCTATCCCAAGTGCAGGACTCTGCACTTGTCATTGTTGAACCTCAGCAGATTTCTTTTGGCCCAATCCTCTAATTTGTCTAGGTCACTCCAAATCCTATCCCTGCCCTCCAACGTATCTACCTCTTCCCCATCTTAGTGTTATCCACAAACTTGCCAAGGGTACAATCCATCCCCTCATCCAGGTCATTAATAAAAATGTTGAACAAAACTGGCCCTAGAACCGATCCTTGTGGCACTCTGCTAGAAAACAACAGCCAACCTGACATCAAGCCATTAAACACTACCCATTGGATAGTATCCTGTCTCAGACGCTGGCCTGATATGACTGAGTAATATGTAGGAACCATGAAATGGGCAAACATGAGATGATCTGTCCTATAAATTAAGTCTCATCCTGGTCTTCTCTAAAAGTTAGAGTTCATCTTAAACCCAGAAGCATGAGGACTAGAATCTCTCTTCCAAAATTATAACTCTAAATAGACTTGCTGTCCATTTCAATGCCCAGTTCCTTTCTGAATCTTGTTAAATTCTTGGCCTTGACTTCCTGTGGCAATGAACTCCATCATCTTGATCAGTTGTCATTATTCGCATTGTCCTCAAGTGTAAACTCAGGCATCGAGAGCTGAAAGTAGAATGTGTGTGGAGCTCGCCAAAACTCTGAATTTACTGTTCTCAGGAAATTGTCATATTTTGCAATTTTATTTCATTCCAATTCAGACCAAAAGCAATTTTTTCAAAATGCCACCGAGTCAGAAACTCCATCAAAATTCCACAACAGAAACACTGACTCATGGTATTACCAAAGCAAGACATCTCCCTGAGACCAAGACAGCTGCTGAATGAAATTGCCATAACATGCCAACCAGCTGCAGGGCTGTTATTCAGTGGTGAGCCCACCAGAGGTGACAAGATTCACATCAATATCAATCAGCAGCCAACAGGACTCAAAGGAGCTGTGGCTCCAGGACTGCCTGGCCATGTGACCTGTCCTATTGCTTTCAAACTCTCATTCCAGCTGGGTCCCCAGGGCTGCCTGACTCTTGGGGCAGCTTGCTCATCATGCAGAAGAAATCAGGCAGCCCATGGGCCAATAACCCCGGGAGACTGGGGGACTTGAGATCCTTGGCCTTGGGACAGTCCATATGACCAAGGTAATCTGATGCTGCAGATTCTGCAAGTCTGTCTCAGGACTTGCAGGATACTTGCTGTGGAGCTGTGAGCTTAGGAGACCCAAGAACCCTGGTCTGTCCTTCCAGGCTCCCTGTTGTCAAGCCAGAAGCTGATCCCTGGTGAGAGCCCAGGCATGTGAGCGCCTCAGAGGGGAACCCAGTACCCTGTGTGCAGTTTACTTGAAGCTTTTACATTTCTGGGAAACATTTCCAAACAGCTGTATGTCCAGGAACTGATCCCCAATCCCTCTGCTAATCATTCCTGTGTATTAAGAACATTGCCCCTTCCAAACTTAGTAAATAAGACACTCACTGCTACACTAGAAACAAATTGTGTGCACTTAATGTTAAGGATACAATTTAAAATGAAACCAAAGGAATTCTGATCATCCCTAGCCACTGCTTTTGGCTACACACTGTTGATTATCTTCTGTGCACCAGACCTACGTGTGATGGGTTAGATCACAGAGATCTGTGGGGCTGTTTCCCCATGTGCTGATCATACCACTGAGCCTGCCTGTTGTACTCTTGGGCACCCAACTACTCTGTCCCACTGGGCCACAAGTTCCGGTCTCTCCCAGCTAAATTACAGAGTTGGGGTAACAGCCTCCCCACCCCTCACCTATTCACAATTGGGAGAGCTCAGGTACAGGGCCTTGACAGGACCATGAGCCCCCACCTTCAAAAGGAAACAAACCCCCAAATAAATCCATCTGATTCTGCATAAAAGTTTTACACAGACAAAGCTCATAAGCTTAGCTCTTTTTATCAATGAAAAAGACATATGCATGGCAATAGATGTACACATTCAACAAATTGTAACTTTAAAAGTATGTCACATGATTTTGTAAAAGTATGTCGCATTTTGCCTAAAGCATCTTCGAGTTATGCATATTCATAAGCCAATTTCCATAAAGCATGGGAGGGGAGGGGCACTAGGATAGTTACTGGGTTCTGATGGCAGACCACTGCTGTTGAAAAAACTGCTTTGAAAAAAAGTTACTTTGCAAAGATGCATATTTTGAGGCTTTTCTCACTGGTTCTGAGAGACCTAAGAACCTTAATTCTAACCTAGAGGTGCAGGCAAGGCTGAAAATCCATCCTTAATTTACTCCACTGGGCACAGAAGGCCTGGTTCAGAGGTACAAAAGGTCAATGGGAGTCTCTCCATTAACTTTAATTAGCTTTGGAGCTGGACCAGATAGAGTAGTGCAGCATTAACAAAAAGACCAGTTTAGATAATCTTGTATTACTTATGCAGAATAGTGTGGCATTTTATCTGCAGCTTTCTATTTTCTTGCTGTTATTATTTTAAAATCAAACTATTATTATTGTTGCACTGTATCTTTAAAAGATTTTATATAATAAGGTGCCAGTTTTTAAGTCTTGCATCATGGCAATGGACTCATTAAATTTAGGTAGATTTATTATACTGTTGTCTTTAATATTCATTCAGATCATATACTATGTTGCCTACCTTACAAATTATTTTTATTAGTCAAGTTTTATTATTTGGTCTTGGAGAAACTGATGAAAGAATGGATGTGCCAAACAAGAAGTATAATGGATTGCCGCATATTGTGTCAAAATAAAGATGCATGTAATATTTTTATGTGGAGTGGTAATTTCATACATCTATAATTTTCTCAAAGCCTTGTCTGTAGACTCTTAATAATGCTTTGGCCTTTCATTTAGGATAAGATTATTTTTCTACCTTTTTCATTTGGTTGTTTTTCTAAATTAATATATCAGAAAAATATGAGGTACTCTCCCATGCAGAGAACTAACAAATGGTTTATGGCCCTTTGTACTTTCAGCTGTACATTTACTTAAACATTTTGATATGGTATATAGGGATTTGACTTTAAAAGTCACATTAATGTTAAATGGAATCATGTGCAAAAGTCTCTACACAATGCATTGAAAATTTAACCCTAACTGTCAGTTTCATTTTAAAGTAACATGAAAGGTATTGACAGACTTTTAACGGCAATGCCATTGGAACCATACTAATTGCAATCGTACTGCATCTGGTGGACAACTTCTGGTTTCATGGAAAAAAACCATCAGAATCCTAGAAACATGTGCAAAATTTGTTCCACAGATTTAATTTAGCCCAAGTAAAGAGACACTGAGATACTGAACAGTGTAAATGAAAAAAAAAGTGGCATTCCTTAGTAATAATATACTGATACTTTTGTCTTAAAAAAAGTTAAGAGTCACTAGATAACTTACTGTCCTTTTTGCTATATTACATTATTTCTATGGGAGGTGACAGTTTTCTGAATATTCTGCACATACTATAAACCTGCACAAAAACAACAGGCTCTGATTTCCTGAGTCTAAATTGAAATCAGAAACATTAAGATGTGATAATTTTCCCTCTCCTTTCCCCCTGCCAAAATGGAAAACAAAGAACTCACCTGCAGAAGAAATTGTGAGGATGTTCTACCATCAGTTTAGTTTGAGCCATTAATGGATGCTTGTCTGAAATAAAATTTAAAAAAAATCTTCCAGTGCTGGTTCTGCAAACCAATTTTATCTTATTTACAGCAATTTATATGCAGAGTGATTCCACTGAAGGCAATGAAAACACTTTTGATTTACAATGATATAAGAGATCAAAATCTGGCCCTGACGCACTCTTAATAACAATTTCCTTAACTTGAATGTAAGACAGTACAGATGAGTCATTTCTTGTAATAAGTCTATGAACCTAACACTTCTTTGGACAAATAATTATCGATGCTAATCCAACCCTCAACATATTGTGCTGATAGAGTTTCACTGGTAGAACTGTGTGGATATAAAACAATTTAAAAGCCAATCGCACCACATCTATGGCAGACATCCTTCTTAATATCCATCTTGAACATTTCCAATATTACACATATTAGTAATAATATAGCACTTCTATCACTATTTGGAACATCTCTCATACAAATGCTCTCCAATAACTCATGCAGCCCTGGAAGTCAGATGACTGCAAAAACTGCTATCGTTCTAAGCTTCATGTCTGTAAACAAGTTGGTGTGGTCAGCATATTTATACATACAGGCTACGTCTACACTGACCCCAAATTCCGCAAAGCAGGTAAGTCAGAATAGGGAAATCCGCGGGGGATTTAAATATCCCCCGCGGATTTAAATAAACATGGCCGCCGCTTTTTTTCCGGCTTGGGGAAAAGCCGGAAAAAAGCGTCTAGACTGGCGCAATCTTCCGGAATAAAGCCCTTTTCCAGAGGATCTCTTATTCCTACTTTCAGGTAGGAATAAGAGATCCTCTGGAAAAGGGCTTTATTCCGGAAGATTGCGCCAGTCTAGACGCTTTTTTCCGGCTTTCCCCCAAGCCGGAAAAAAAGTGGTGGCCATGTTTATTTAAATCCGCGGGGGATTTAAATATCCCCCGCGGATTTCCCTATTCTGACTTACCTGCTTTGCGGAATTTGGGGTCAGTGTAGACGTAGCCACAAGGTTTTGAAAGAAAACTTCCATATTTGGGGACCAAATCATTTCCCCAGAGTGAATTATGCCCATACTTTTCCCCTCCCAATTTATCTGGGCTTTTTTGAGCATTTTATTGTGAATACAAAATTGGGATCACAAAAACGGCAGCCAAGTTGAATACTCAGGTTTCACTTTTTACTTTATGCCATTCCTGATATTTTGGGCCTTTCTAGAAAAACGGCAGCAGGAACCAAGTTATTCATGAATACGGAACAGATGGGAGAGATTGCCAGCACAGTGTATTAACAAGGACAGTAGTGCCTGGAGCTATCCAAGGCTGGCATGGAGCAGCCATCTCTGCTTCATCAACAGCTAGCACTGATCTGAAAGAGAACTCCAGAGAGAAGCTGGACTCAGCCTAGTAATTACTTGATTACAGAAAGGAAAATAACACTTATGGAACAAGATGTCCTCACTGAACTGAGAAACAGGCATAGTGGCCTCTGTAGGAGTCAATTAGCTTCAATATTTGTTTTTTCAGACACTGTGAGATGCCCAGTGGTAATAAGCTCTTCTTGCTCCTAGCTGTTGCTAGAAATGCTATATCCAGTCAATGTAATGCAGGACCCTTTTCCCATTATTTACCATCTTCTGTCTCTGGAGGACAAGTTAATTGCAATCAAAATACTGAGCTACTCAAACAAAGAGGCCAAACTGTATGTCTGCTCAGTCCACAGTGGAACAGAGAATTATCTTAAGAATTTCACAATGCCTCTTAAGGCATTTGTCCTGTTGTTCAAAAGCCCAACAACATGTCCAGCATCCAGCCAAATGAAATATGATTCACTATAATACGTTTGTGCTGAAAAAAAAAGGAAAGGAAGAAAGATGTAATCACTTGTGACAATACAATGGAAACAATTCTGCTGCCTCATTTATAGGCAATACATTCACAAGTGCTGAAGAAATAAATGCCACATTATGTTCATTACATTAATCACTTAATTAAATATTAAGCTATTGGAGTATGTCATGTAGTGTTGTTTTTTATTATAGCAATGAGAACTTTGAAAAGAATCAATCTGTTTTTTTCAAGTTGAGGTTTTGATTCTTTTGTAAATTGTGTCACATTTGACCTTGATTGATTTCAGTGAACAGTATGCATAAGCAATTCATTGCCCCAGCCTCCTTCCCCTGCGCTCTGACCAGGGGAAGGCAGGAGCAGCACGTTAACCTAGCCTCCCTTCCCTGTGCTCCAGCCAGCTAGAGGAAACATGGGGTGGATTTTCCCCCTCCTCCAGGAGCTAGGCCAGGGACAGGCCAGGACCACCACCATACCCTCCCATGGTTCTCACCCCCCTCCACACACACACACACGCACGCGCACACACACACACAAGGGCCTGTTTCAACAGGGGGTTGAGTTAAACCAATGCTATTGTTTGTGAAATTGCCCCTCTTTGTTAGCAAGGGTTATATCAAATATGTATTCACATGGGGTATGTCTACACTACAGAGTTTTTCCATAAAAATTACATTTACATCCATACTGCTACTGTGTTCTTTTGACAGAAAGTCGAAAGAACAGAAGGGTTTTTCCAGCAGCGGTAAAAGCCTTTTTTAAAAAAAGCTTTTTCAGAAAAAGGTGTGGGTGGACGTGGAAGAGAGTGTTTTTTTCAAAAGAAGAGGCCTCCAGGAAAAAGCACAGGTGCTCTGGTGGCCACCATGTCCACAATAATCACAACTGAAATGTGAAATAACATCTAATCAATGTGGACGTTACCTTTCAAAAAAGCAGATTGCTTTTTCGTTGCACTTCTGCAGTGTAGACGCTCTCTTTAAGATCCTTCTTTAAGGTCAGAAAACTATCATGATAATCTAAATCTGACCTCCTGCATATTTTGGCCACAGACTCTCACCCAGGAACTCCTATAATAGACTCCTAAACCTCTGGCTGAGTTACTGAAGTCCTCAACTCAGGATTTAAAGAACTCACCTTACAGAGAATGCACTATTGACACTAGCTTTAACCTGTGCCCCATGCTGCAGAGAAAGGTGAAAAAAAATCCAGGATCTCTGCCAATTTGATCCAGGCAAGCAGAGAATTCCATCCTGACCCCATATATGGTGATCAGTTACACCCGGAGCATGGGATCAAAAGCCACCAATCAAACATACTTTGGTGTTTTGATACAACATTTATAATACTGTATAACAACTCTCATCTGTAGTCCACTTGAGATCACAAAGGGTATGTCTACACTAGCACCCTCTTTCGAGAGAGGAATGCAAATGAAGACATTCAAAGTTGCAAATGAAGCCGGGATTTCTCTCTTCAGTGTCTTTTCCAGTTCCATCAGCACACCTGGTATTCAGTACTTCAAAAGGTGCACAATACTCTAGGTCCAGACTCATCATCTCATACTGCAGAGCAGTGAAGAGGCCTGCTTATTGGGGCTCAATACTCCAAATGGCCCAGTCCAGATGGAATCCTCTGTAGTTCCCCTTTGGGTCTTTAGAGAACATAACTACAATGCTGTAATCAAAAGCTCTGCACCCCATGATAAAGAAATGATCTTTAACAGCCATTTGAGAGGATGTGGGAAACAGGAGGGAAAACAAACAACATTTGAAAACAAAATACCTGAGATGTTTCAAAAGATTAAGGAGAAGCACCTCATTAAGTGTGGGCTTCTGAAATTTTCCAGATGGTTTCCAGAAGCTGCAGCAAGGGGAGAGATGGAGGATCGATGGCCAGTGAGACACAGAGCTGCGGTGGTACTACATTTTTTTCTACATAGCAGCGGATTTAACCCAGGCAAAGGTGTCCATTTCTAGGGATAGGCAGTGGTGCTCCATTCTTGGTTTCCATACCATGGTCACCACAAGCAGCTTGGAAGGAGATTCTTCCCATGGCAGTCAGTGTGGAGGATTGTTTGCTTCCATGTACTCAGGATGATGGGGAGCAGCTCTGAGTTTGGGGGAGATCAACTACCAGTTACTACAGTGTATCCAGGGCTCCCAGAGTTAATGAGTCAGAGAAAGGGAGAGTAGACAAGGGCTGTGTTCTGGGGTTTCTGGAGGATTTGATTTTCATAGAAGGATGGAAGGTTTGAAGTGTTGTGCCTGGCGTATGGGTAAGGTAACAGGTGCAGGGCAAGCATGTAGATGCAAACTCTGGTTGTTACAGACTGGATGTGCTGTTGGACTTAGCAGAAGAGCCTGCAGCGAGTTAGTTACATCTACTTGCAATGATTATGACCCATCAACTAGCCCACATATCTTATTTAGGTCTGGATACAGCCCCTATTATACCCATATACACTTGTTCTCTTTCTCGGCCTGCCACAATGAATTTTATAACCACTCTTCTTAGTGAAGAGAATGGATTTGCGGGGAATTTGATATTACCTTCTAAGAAAATGTTCGGGACTACCCTACTGCTGGTTTGATCCCTTCAGGATTTTGTCCCAACTCCTACATGATTTCTCTGAGGTTGTTCTACAGGAACCAGGGCTGTCAGTTTTCCCTGTACAATTATTTGGATTGACTTTTGGCTCTCCTTTGGAATTGACTTTGCAAGTAACAGACTTTTGAAATGCATTTACAGAATCAAATGCAAATTTTCCTAAAAGTTTGTTATCTGACACTACCCCGATGGTGAACAATTTATAAGATAAGGGAAACTTCTTAGTAAAAGATTTACAGATATTTCTGAAGTCAAATAACCTCACTTTGATTGCAAGATCATGTGCTCACAGGGAGGAGGGGTGAAACGGGGCTGTGCCAGAATTGATAACAGAGATTAAAGATTCTTAAAATATTGTTTAACTGATCATACCCCATCAGCACGGTGGCCATTTTTATTTTAATGAAGCCAGGGATATTTAAATATATTTAACAGAGGCATGTAGTCTAGACATACCCAGAGAGAAAAGAAAATCTCTGCTGAGCCTGTGTTCCTGGTTCTACATATTCATTCTAGGTAATATCAAAGTTCTAGAACTCTTAGAATAGATAACCCAAAGAATTCATAGGGAG